GCATTTACATATATACATATTTTATGGCTGTCCTTCAATCTTCCACTCCCCCTTCCCCCAAATACTAGGGCGGCTAAACAAATACCCTAACAGGGCAACAGGGCCTCAGTCATGTGTAAAATGCGGACTTCCTCCGACGAACACATCGTGGTAAAGCTAGGATTACTTGACAATTTCAAGACACGCAACATTACAGACGATTATAGCGACATGGCGAGGAAACCACACACTCCGATGCAGATTAGCGTTGTTGTTGTCCTCACACTTTTCAGCATGCGGTTAAAATCACCGCCGACAGTGCCTCCCGCCCCCCTCCCCCGGGCTGCACGTAGGTGGAGATCTAAACTAGATGCCTGGGACTGACGAGCAAATAAATGCGGTAGCTGCTGCTCGTGAGTCCCACCCATCTAGTTTAGCCCCCAATCCGCGCCGCACGTAGCGGCAAGGGGGATACTGTCGACGATGCAGCATAGTCGCAGAAACAGGTCCGCAATTAATTTCCATTATTCTGAGCCAATCCTTTTTTTGCCACGATTTGTTCCTCGGCAGGAACTCTGCATTTTGCATAGGACTAAGGCCCTGTTAGGGTATTTGTTTGGCAACCATAATATGGGGGAAGGCTGGTGGGAGATCAAAGTAGAGCCTATTTTATTATAGCTTAAAAAAAAAAGAGTATCAACTCAAGTATTATCATAATACTAATTTTTAATAATCATAATTTATTCACAGGTGGTTATCGGAAAGTCATAGATCATTAGGTGAAAGTGGCATTTTCCCACTGCCAGGACTAAATTTCTTTCTAGTACTTCTTATTAATATTTAATTATCTATTTATTGATGGGGGAGAGAGTCAACAATCATTTGTGATAGTATTCAGTTGTAACCAAATGTGCAGTTCTTTTTTATGTCTTCCTGTAATTATTTACTGCCTTTTTATTTTAACTATGAAGTATGTACTTTGGTCAGATTTTCTAAAAAAAAAAAAAAAAATTTATAATAATGCCACATACCACTAAAGTCAGAGAATTATTGTAATTGTGATTGCACTATAAAAGGTTGACAAAGCAACTATCAGCTCGCATAGTTGGACTCAGCCTAGAAAATAGATGTAGTTGCTCACTAGTTAAGATCACGGTTTTTCTGTCACATTTATAGTTTTCTTTATGCATATCTCAGTGACGGGATCCTGAAGTTCACCAGGACATACACTATAGATGGAAGTTTATTCCAGTGGATTTTTAATCCTGTCATCCAGAGAAATTAAGTCTAGTCATTTCTGGTTGTGACAGTCTTGTAAATGCTGATATATCGCCATGTCTGCAGTGAGCTGTTCTTGCAAAGAAAATTTTTTAATTAATATAAAGAAAATTTATTCACTTAGCACTAAAGTAAAAAAAAAATCTTGAATAACCCACTTTAATGCAGTACTTTCATACATCTACTGCATGTTGATAATGTTAGCAAGACGGTCATGTGAATTAGCATAAGTGTGGATCTGGCAAGAAAGAACATAAGAAGAAAGGGAGAGTACAATGTGTGTGCAACCAGCATGCTATTGGAAGTAGTAGAACATCAGGTTCCAAGTAAACTCAACTCAGAAAGTGTAGTTAAATTCTATTGTTTCTATACAGTGTGTGCCCATGCAGTGCTTTATATGCCAGGATATGAATACAGTAGCATGTTGTATTATTAATCCTGGGAGACTTGAATGCTCAGGTAGGAAAGGACAATGCAGGAAGGAACAGAACAATGGGAAAACATGGAACAGGGGAAATGACCAACAACGGAGAGAGATTAATGTGACTTCAGCCAATCTATTGACCTAATAATTGGAGGAGCGCTCTTCTCTCATAAAACAGTTCAAGGCCACATGGAGATCTCCAGATGGACAAAAAAAAAACCAAATTGACCATATTCTTATAAATAGAATATGGAGGCATTCCCTGCAAGAGGTCAGAGTATGTAGATCAGCGGATATAGGGAGTGACCATAATTTACTTATTGGAAAAACCAAGTTAAAACTAAGGAAAGCTAAAAAGGAGAACAAAAACCGCAGCTATATAATGTAGGAAAATTGCAGTACACACAGATCAAACAGCAATTCAAGATAGAACTCAAAAACAGATTCAGCATTTCACAAGAAGAAATAGAAATGGTAATCAACAAATTTAATGAAGCAGTCAAATTAGCAGGGAAGAAAATATTAGGATATAAGTGAAAGAGGAGTGGATTTCCCAGTCAGCGTGGGATAAACCGTATGATATTTAAAAAAAAAATGTTAGATGCAGAATCATCCAGATTGAAAGGAGAATTTTTTAAAGAATATGCACTAAAGAACAATAGGGTTAAAGCAGGAGCAAAAGCAGATAAACTTTCATCTATTGAAAAACTAGTAACAGAAGCAGAGGAAGCAGCAAATAAGCTGCACAACATAAATAAGAAACTGAAAAAAAATGTGATATCGCACCAAAATTTGCCTTTAAAAACAAAGAGTGGGAAAATGTTTACAGCCGAGACAGAAAAATTAGAAAGGTGGAAAGAACACTTACAGGAATTACTAAACTGTCCAGACCCACCTGTACTTGCTGATATACCTGGGTCATAGAAAGACCTACAGATAAGCCTAGAGCCTTTTTCAGAGGCAGAAGTAAGGGAGGCGTTTAAAGCTCAAAAGGTTAATAGAGCAACTGGGTGTGATGGGATCTGCCCAGAAATGCTGAAAGTGGAAGAAATTGTAACGCCAAAACTATTGTGTAAGATTTTTCAAGAAATTTGGAACAAAGAAGAAATCCAACAGGAGTGGGGAAAAGGGTACTATTGTTAAATTACCAAAGATAGGAGATTTCCGAAACTGTAACAACTGGAGAGGTATTAAATTACCATTAGTAACTAGTAAAATCTTTAGCCGGATAATTCTTAAAAGCGCTTTATAGTATAAGGCAAGAGCAAGCAGAATTCAGAAAGGTGATATCATGTATTAATCACATCTTCATGCTGCGTAAATAACTGAATAAAGTAACGAATGGAGTAGTAAAGTTTAAATGACCTTTGTGGATTTTGAAAAAGCCTTTGATAGCCTGCATCAGGAATTACTATGGAAGATTTTACGTCACTATGGTGCACCACAAAAAATAGTCAATTCGATAAAAGCCATTTACTTTAATTTTCAAACACAAGGTATAGTATGTGATAATTATACAACAGAAAGTTTCTTTGTCAACATAAGAGTCAGACAGGGATGCAAACTATCCCCCTTTTTTGTTTAATTTGGCCATTAACTGACTGATGAAGAAAGTTACAGAGATAGACAAAGAGGCATCAAGTGGTCACTCATCTCTGTTTTAGAGGATTTGGAATATGCAGATGACATCAGCCTTAAATCAAGCTGTCATGTGGACGCTCAGGAAAAGATTGAAAGACTTTCAACAACAGTCATTAAGATAGGACTCAAAATAAACACCAGTAAAACTAAAGTAATGAGAAATAATTACAAAACAGAAAATACAATTATCTGAAAGCAACAGAGGAAGTTGAAGAATTTATACACCTCGGAAGGAAAGTTACTCCAGATAGAGATTCTGAAAAGGATGTCACATCAAGAATAAACAAAGCAAATCAAGCATTTGTCATACTTAACAATATATGGAAGTCAAAGGGATTTAGTTTGAAGACAAAACTCAGAATATGCAAGTGCAACATTTTAGGAATACTATTATACAACAGTAAATATTGGAAAATAACAGCAGGAATTACACATAAACTTGAGACTTTTTTATAATAATGATGAAATAGAAGATAAGCTCATGCTTAAGATATGCGAATTAAAAATGAGACTAACCAGCTTCACAAACAAACAAAAATATTTACATTCCATTTTGTTAATAGAAATATTTTTAATAATCAGAACCTGGGAACACAATTTTAACAGACAAAATGTTATGTCCTTAACACCAAGTAATAGTACAAAAATCAGCCTGGAAATGGAAAAAAAAATAATCACATTAAAAGCAGTGAATAAAAAAAATTCAGAGCTGTTAAAAAAATAATATAACTGCCATGTGACTGGTGCCAAAAGTAAATATTGTAAAATATACATACTTCGCTAAAGAAAAGCACATTGCAAATAGTATATCTATCAGCAAACAGACAGTGTGAATCAACAGAAGAAGAGAATAATCAGATCAATCGGAAAGCTACCAAAACTGGCACAAGATGATTACCATTTTATGGACAGACCAGAGCAAGTTATCATTCTACGCCTTGAACAGAACACAATCGACTTCGCAGCCACGTGTACACACAATTTAAAATTGGGGAATCAGCCATGTGCACATGTGGACTGGCACCTGAGACAACAGATCACGTCCTCCAAGACTGTCCCAAATACAACATATCAAGGCAAATAAATACCAAGAAAAGCACTGCTGCAAGTCAAACGTTACAGGTTGCTAAGTAAATTACAAAAGACAGCGAAGTTCATACTAGAGACAACACTGCAGATTTAGATAATCTATTTGGAAGTGAACGAAAGAAGAAGAATTGTTGTCTTTTGTGCATTTTCCTTATAAACCATATCTGTGCTGCTTCAACATTTCCTCGATTTAAAAACAATCTGTGGCATTTTTGTTTTTGTTTCAAAGGCACATCATTCAATCCTGATGATTTTGGAGTTGTGCCAGTTGTTATACATCAGTACCAGTTGTTGTACATCAGTTTCAGTTGTTGTACATCAGTTTCAGTTGTTGTACATCAGTGCCAGTTGTTGTACATCAGTGCCAGTTGTTATACATCAGTTTCAGTTGTTCTTCATCAGTACCAGTTGTTGTACATCAGTACCAGTTGTTGTACATCAGTGTCAGTTGTTATACATCAGTTTCAGTTGTTCTTCATCAGTACCAGTTGTTGTACACCAGTACCAGTTGTAGATGAATGTTCCAGTTATATTAAGCTGAATTTAGAGCTGCCTTACTGAGATGGTCCTTTGTGTTCTCCTGTCAGATATGAGTAATGTGATGGTAGCATTGCCAGCAGGCAGGAGTCTGTCCAAGGACAACAGAGAGCTGGCCAGCAGCATGCTGGAGATCATGGCAGTGATGAGAGTCAAGTCTCTGGAGTCAAAGAAGAAACAGCTTCGCTACAGAAGTGTCCTCAAACAAGAGATTTCCAGTAAGGTTGTGTGGTCAGGTTGTGTGGTCAGGTTGTGTGGTCAAGGTGTGTGGTCAGGTTGTGTGCCCTAGTGTCAGTGGTCTCTATCTTCGCTTGTTGTTAATTTGTGTCATAATCTGTTAACCTTCCTTTTATTTCAAAGAGAATTGCAGCTTGCAGCTGTTATGTATATGCATTGTACTTTTCCATGGACAAATCTCATCAATGTTAATGGCTTTTATCTGTCAACAGATAAGTATTTTCCCTCTAACATTTATTACAAAACTGTAGATTCGAGACTTACTGTTTCTGGTGTGGATTCTGGCCCCCTTGTGGGGGAAAATAAGCCTAGACCCACTGCCTCCCCAACATCATGTCTCAGAGATTAACTAATTGTGGGCATCTTTTTGTGTCAGAATGTGTCTGTGTGAGAGGCAAGGAACCAACTGTCAGTGTCATAGTGCATCTGTGTGAGAGGCAAGGAACCAACTGTCAGTGTCATAGTGCATCTGTGTGAGAGGCAAGGAACCAACTGTCAGTGTGTGTCTGTGTGAGAGGCAAGGAACCAACTGTCAGTGTGTGTCTGTGTGAGAGGCAAGGAACCAACTGTCAGTGTGTGTCTGTGTGAGAGGCAAGGAACCAACTGTCAGTGTGTGTCTGTGTGAGAGGCAAGGAACCAACAGTCTGTCTACAAATAAGCCAGATCTGTCAGTGTGTGTCTGTGTGAGAGGCAAGGAACCAACAGTCTGTCTACAAATAAGCCAGATCTGTCAGTGTTATAGTGCATCTGTGTGAGAGGCAAGGAACCAACTGTCTGTCTACAAATAAGCCAGATCTGTCAGTGTTATAGTGCATCTGTGTGAGAGGCAAGGAACCAACAGTCTGTCTACAAATAAGCCAGATCTGTCAGTGTGTGTCTGTGTGAGAGGCAAGGAACCAACTGTCTGTCTACAAATAAGCCAGATCTGTCAGTGTTATAGTGCATCTGTGTGAGAGGCAAGGAACCAACAGTCTGTCTACAAATAAGCCAGATCTGTCAGTGTGTGTCTGTGTGAGAGGCAAGGAACCAACTGTCTGTCTATAAATAAGCCAGATCTGTCAGTGTTATAGTGCATCTGTGTGAGAGGCAAGAAACCAACAGTCTGTCTACAAATAAGCCAGATCTGTCAGTGTGTGTCTGTGTGAGAGGCAAGGAACCAACTGTCTGTCTACAAATAAGCCAGATCTGTCAGTGTTTGTCTGTGTGAGAGGCAAGGAACCAACAGTCTGTCTACAAATAAGCCAGATCTGTCAGTGTGTGTCTGTGTGAGAGGCAAGGAACCAACTGTCTGTCTACAAATAAGCCAGATCTGTCAGTGTTATGGTGCATCTGTGTGAGAGGCAAGGAACCAACAATCTGTCTACAAATAAGCCAGATCTGTCAGTGTGTGTCTGTGTGAGAGGCAAGGAACCAACTGTCTGTCTACAAATAAGCCAGATCTGTCAGTGTTTGTCTGTGTGAGAGGCAAGGAACCAACAGTCTGTCTACAAATAAGCCAGATCTGTCAGTGTGTGTCTGTGTGAGAGGCAAGGAACCAACTGTCAGTCTACAAATAAGCCAGATCTTTCAGTGTCATAGTGCATCTGTGTGAGAGGCAAGGAACCAACAGTCTGTCTACAAATAAGCCAGATCTGTCAAACAAATGTGCATGCAGCACTCAGGTTCTGGAACAAGACTAAACTTTAAAGCTGAAAGAACAGCCAGGACTTCTCCACCAGAGTTTACAACAAGTGAAAGCAAAGCAGAAGAAAAGACAATTTATATATATTTTGTATTTATATTTGTAAATTTTTAATATGGATACAAATTCTCGTAAGATATTTAGTTGTTGAGAATAGTTGAAGATGGAAGGTATGTAATCAGTTTTGAGAAGGTTAGTGTGGAAATTGTGATGTTGAATATCACATCATTATTGAATGATTGTGGATAGTTTGAAAAATATGTTAACATTTGTACCTTTGTGGATAGTAGGTCAATATTGCTGTCATTAGAAGACAGATTAGCAAGTTTTATGAAGAACATGGAATCAGATTTAACTCCCTACAGTTGCCTTCAGACAGCCTTGAGATGTGGACTGAACAAATTACCCAACATCTGTGGGACTGTTCTCTGTGTTTAGATCTGCTAACTGACCCGCTGAAAATGTTTGTTCATTTCTAATTATTTTCTCAATTTTTCTGTAAATCTACATCTATAAGGTCTCAAGATATTTGTTGGCTGGTTTATTAATTGTCCAGTAATCACAGCCATATGTTAAATCTGGTTTATCTAGTATGCAAGAATTCTGTTTCCAACTTCTAATGACAGGGATTTGTTGCATAATATTTTTTTTTGGCCATGTATTTGTTGCAGAACTGCAGAATGTCAGTGACTCCTTGTTGAGCCTGGACGATCCAGACACTGCAGAGGAAATAATAAAACAAAACCAGACGTTGCTGAACTTGACCCGAGACATTGACCAATCAGCAAAGGAGATCAGTATCCTGCAGCTGAAGGTGAAGGAGGCAGAGAAGGAATTAGAGGTCATCCGTCAGCAGCAAACAAACTTGGAGAATAAGCTGTACCCTCGAGCCAGGTGACAGTTGATCCTGTTTTTGTTCTTCCAGGTCATCTCATTTTTTTTTGCAGCAAACACATGTCTACTTCTGTCTACCCCTGGTAATGCTACTTCCAGGTCATGTCATTTTTTGCAGCAAACCCATGTCTAGTTCTGTCTACCCCTGGTGATGCTACTTCCAGGTCATGTCATTTTTTTGCAGCAAACACATGTCTAGTTCTGTCTACCCCTGGTGATGCTACTTCCAAGTCATGTCATTTTTTGCAGGAAACACATGTCTATTTCTGTCTACCCCTGGTAATGCTACTTCCAGGTCATGTCATTTTTTGCAGGAAACACATGTCTAGTTCTGTCTACCCCTGGTGATGCTACTTCCAGGCCATGTCATTTTTTGCAGCAAACACATGTCTACTTCTGTCTACCCCTGGTAATGCTACTTAACTCTGTGGTATTCAGTTGAAGTAAACATGAATTTAAGATGGATGGAGTGAAGAAACAGTTAATATGGAATGCATTTAAAACAGTACCTAAATGAATAATTAAAAATACTGAAAGACTCTACCTATCAAGCAAGCAGAAAGGATATTCAATGTTGGATGTTGAATTAAGAATTGACATCACAGTACTCGGGACACTCCCATAAGTGCTCTGTCCCCATCTTCAGCAGCAGGCGAAGGAATCCAATTCGGATGGTACCTGTAACTGATTGTATGACTGTCTTGACTTTCCCTTGAGTGCTGAGCGTGGGCCAGATCCCCTGGTAACTCCTCGCAGCACCAGTCTCCTCAGACCTTAATGATCTATTTGTGTATCCACACTGCTCACTTGCTTCCAAAGAATAATTACGACATCTAGCTTGTCATACATCAGTTCACCACCAGGTGCAGCAGAACTGGCCAGTCTGTCTGCCTGCTTGTTTCCTAACACACCAGCATGACCTGAGAAAATATCCAAAGAACACCAACTACCTGAGACCTCTGAAGCAATGCTTGCCACTCTGCACGGAGTATGCCTGTGTCCACCTTTCTGAGCATGCTCTGTGAGTCAGTTATAGGATATTCAAAGCAATACGCTTTTTGTAAATTTGAACAAGACACAAACAATAGATTGCACAATTTATTGCCTGGCATATTCTGCTGTATCTCAGGTGCATATTACAGTAACAATTAAAAAAAGAAGCAAATAAGTGAATCCTTTATAACTGAAGTACAAATTCAACAGCACTCAAAAGCAACTGCCTGTTTTACAAGGCCAGCTGAATTATCAGAATCATATCTTTCTTTTACAAAGTTCAGGACGCATGTAATGAAAAAGAATATTACCAAAAAGAAGACTACATAAAGTAAGAAGGTACATAAATGAGAAAATCTCAAAGTTAATTGAGTAAAAAAAACAAAGTGAAAATGCCAGCGAATAATATGAAGATAAGAGATAAATGTATAAAAATGAAAAAAATATAATGAATTGAAAAGTGCAACAAAATTGAATTAATTCTTTCAACAAAAAAATTATGCACGGACGAATCGTACAGTCAAGGATGCTGCTCACAAACAAAGTATTTATAGTTGTTTTACAGTGCAGTAACATTGTGTATATGTTCTGTATTCTATTATTCTGAAATTTGGCCTGTCACACAAACATGAAATCCAAAAGTATTTAGATTAATAATCTCAAATAAAGACCAGATAATGCATAATTTAAAAGAGAAGGCATGTGAATTCTTGAGATGGATAGCAATTCAGTTTTGCTGATCAAGTGAAAAAACATTAAGATAAGTAAAAATTGTTCAACTGTGTCTAAACATCCTTGAATGTGGTGTCATTTTAATATTTTGTTGTTGCAATACTGATCCGTAAATATTTAGATGTATTCTATATGTAAATTTCTCATGAATTTCAATTATTATATGTCATTATAATACTTCTTATGAGGAAGTTTTTAACATTGTCATGTTGCAGTGAAAATAAAACCCACTTAAAATTAATTCTGTCAGAACCCTCGGAAAAATTCCGTCTTGAAAGAGTTGAGAGGAACACTCAGTTAACAACAAGAAAATTTATATCCTAGCTATGCCTGCCTCTTCATGGGCTACCTCGAGCACCAGATACATTATGCATATACCAGTAGGCTCCCCGAGTTCTACAGGAGGTATATCGATGATTTCATCGGTGTCACCAATATGTCGCTACCTTAACTGCAGAACTTCATTCACTTCTTCTCCCACTTCCATCCCAGCATCCAATGCACTTCTAGCATCTCACCTTAGTTGGTGCATTTTCAGGATCTCACTGTCACCTTGGACTCTTAAGGTCTCATCACCTCACTATTATGAAAGCCTACTGATTCCCACGCCCTTCTTCTCTACATGTTTTCCCATCCCTCTTCTGGAAGGACTCTATTCCGTTCTCCCAACTTCTACGCCTCCGTAGACTATGCCGGGAGAACGACGACTTTCACAAGGCCCTAGAAATGCTGGACTTCTTTTGGCTTTACGGGTATCCTGAACATGTCTTAATGTCTTATCTGCTGCCATTCACCGCTCACGATCTTTCCATCGGGCCAAGGCTTTCATTTCCAAACCTAAATGTCACCACAACAGACCTATCCTCATACTTACCTACCACCCTCGCAACATCTGACCTAAAAATATTCTCCTCAAGCATCTCTCCATCCTCAGTTCTGACCCTGCCTCCAGCACCTTTTGTTTATGTTTGTTGTATTGTGAAGCTTGCTGATATACTTTTCGTTTGGTTTTATATCTTTTCTTGATGTCCCAGAATGCATGTATTCATTTCAATCCAAACATGAACGCTTGATTTCTTTGTTCCTAAGAATGTGTTTTAACAAGTTTTACAGTATTCAGTAAGTATGAGAAGACTGTGAATCAAATCATGCAATGTGACTGTTTCAGGTATGCAGTCAACCTGCTGAGGGAAGTGGGTAAGGTGACCTGGCAGATGGGACAGTCGTCTCCCCTTGAAGTCAAGGGCTGTATCCTTTTGATTGACTTGATCAGACTCTGGTTGTAAAGTGACCGTTTGACTCACCATTGTAATGTTTGTTGACAAATTGTTCGTCCAGTGAGTGAGATATGTAAACCACTGTTAAGATGTTTGACCTACCATTGAGATGTTTGATCCACCATTCAAATGTTTGACAAACCACAGATGTTTGACCTATCATTAATTTGTTTGACTCATTCCTGAAATGTTTTTTTAATCATTGAAATGTTTGACCAAGTTTGAGGCATTTGATCAGTTAACGAAATGTTTGACCCACCACTTAGGTGTTTACTCTAATCTGTCAGTGACACGTTTAACCTGTCTGTGACATTTTTAAGCCACTGTTTAGTTTGACCTTTCAGTGACATGTTTAACCCACTGTTGAGATTTTCGACCCATCATTGAGGTGTTTGATCTGTCATTGACATGTTACAAAAGTGAAAGTTCAGCTCTGCTAGGGATTGAACCCACAATCATCTCATCCACAGGCGAGCGTCTAGCTGCTACACCAGGCTGGCTATATAATGCCAGACCTATATTTTATAGACCGACAGGCAATCAGTGGGTGAGTGTGGCCAACATCACAGTGGTTAAGTGGGATCAACATGACAGTGGTTAAGTGGGGTCAACATGACAGTGGTTAAGTGGGGTCAACATGACAGTGGTTAAGTGGGGTCAACATGACAGTGGTTAAGTGGGGTCAACATGACAGTGGTTAAGTGGGGTCAACATGACAGTGGTTAAGTGGGGTCAACATGACAGTGGGTGAGTGTGGCCAACATCACAGTGGGTGAGTGGGGTCAACATGGCAGTGGTCAGTGGGGTCAACATGACAGTGGTTAAGTGGGGTCAACATGACAGTGGTTAAGTGGGGTCAACATGACAGTGGTTAAGTGGGGTCAACATGACAGTGGTTAAGTGGGGTCAACATGACAGTGGTTAAGTGGGGTCAACATGACAGTGGTTAAGTGGGGTCAACATGACAGTGGTTAAGTGGGCTCAACATCACAGTGGTTAAGTGGGGTCAACATGACAGTGGTCAGTGGGTGAGTGGGGTCAACATCACAGTGGTCAGTGAGTGGGGTCAACATCACAGTGGTCAGTGAGTGGGGTCAACATCACAGTGGTCAGTGGGTGGGTTGGGTCAACATCTCAGTGGGTGAGTGTGTCCACATTACAGTGGTGTCCTTTTGAAGAAACAATTTTCTGGTTCCGCACAAGTCTGAACCCACGACCTTTCGGCCCACAGGCAAGTGTCAAACTTTTCTGCCATAGATACTGCCAGTTTGACCTTATTACCTACAAAATAGGTTTAGACATAACATGACAAGTGTGTGTGTGTGTGTCCCACTGCACTGTTTGACACCACATTGTGCTCTTTCTCTCTCTCCCCCCCCCCCCCCCCACCCCCCCCCCCCCCCCACAAAACAGCACTCTTTGACATTTCATTGTACTAATGTCTCCCACACAGCACTGTTTGACATTATATTGTGTTGATGTCCCCCACACAGTACTGTTTGACATTACATTATGTTGATGTCTCCCACACAGTACTGTTTGACATTACATTATGTTGATGTCTCCCACACAGCACTGTCTGACATTACATTGTGTTGATGTCCCCCACACAGTACTGTTTGACATTACATTGTGTTGATGTCCCCCACACAGTACTGTTTGAAATTACATTGTGTTGATGTCCCCCACACAGTACTGTTTGACATTACATTATGTTGATGTCTCCCACACAGTACTGTTTGACATTACATTATGTTGATGTCTCCCACACAGTACTGTTTGACATTACATTATGTTGATGTCTCCCACACAGTACTGTTTGACATTACATTATGTTGATGTCTCCCACACAGTACTGTTTGACATTACATTATGTTGATGTCTCCCACACAGCACTGTTTGACATTACATTGTGTTGATGTCTCCCACACAGCACTGTTTGACATTACATTGTGTTGATGTCTCCCACACAGCACTGTTTGACATTACATTGTGTTGATGTCTCCCACACAGCACTGTTTGACATTACATTGTGTTGATGTCTCCCACACAGCACTGTTTGACATTACATTGTGTTGATGTCTCCCACACAGCACTGTTTCTTCTTCTTCTTCTTCTTCTCTTCCACCTTGTACCTCATCGAAGTGTCGGGGGGAGATGTAATGTTCGTTGATGAGCTCTGTCAAGAGCACTATTAAGACTGATGTTCATTTCTGTAAGGCTGTTCTTAATGCCATCACTCCATCTTTTCCGAGGTCTTCCACTCGCTTTATACCCGTTGTAACGTTTTAGTGTGGCTCGCTGTGGCAGATAGTACCAGGGCATTCTTGTTAGGTGTCCAAACCATTTCATTTGTTGTTCTTTGATGACCTGTAAGACTGGCTTTATTCCTAGCATTCGTCTGATTTCATGATTTTGTATTCTGTCTTTCCTTGAAACTCCTGCAGCTCTTCTAAGGCATTTCATCTCTGTTGTCACAATTTTACGTTCATTGGAGGATGTAAGTGTCCACGTTTGGCACTGATAGCATAGTATTGGCCAAAAAATAGTTCTGATAAGATTCACTTTAGTACTCTGAGGTATCTGCTTGTGTGTCAACAGGGGAGATAGTTGGCCCATTACTTGATTAGCTTTGGCACATCTGGAGCTAATTTCTCTGTCCAGTTTTCCGTCTGAAGTAAAAATTGCTCCCAAATACTTAAATTCCTCTGTTTGTCTCAGGGTGTTGTTTTTTAATTTAATTTCTAAATTGTCTTTATGTCTTCCTATCATCATTGTCTCTGTCTTCGTAGTGTTTATTTTCATATTATATTCCTCCCCTTTGTTACTAATTTGATTTAGGTGGTTCTGTAGGCATTCCATATTTTCTGCTATTAGTACCTGGTCGTCGGCGAAAAGTAATTCTGTTATATCTTCTTCCTGATTAAAGTCTGTTTCGCTACATATGGCGTCCATGTATGTTATGAAAAGAAGGGGCGATAGTACACAGCCCTGACGCACACCAGAGTTCACTATAAAAGTTCTAGACAACCCTGCCTTTGATCTTATGCAGCATTCACTACGTGTGTACAGGCTTTTGCAAATATTAATGAGATGATTGCTGATTCCTTTTTTCCCCATACATTCCCACAACATATTCCTGTCGACTCTATCGAAGGCTTTTTCTTGGTCTATGAATGTCAACAAACATGTCTTATCATGTTCTATTGCCCTCTCTGATAGTTGTCTCAATGTATAAATGGCATCTGTGCAACTTCTGTTTCGTCGAAAGCCCATCTGTGCTTCTGAAAGTTGATACTCTATCAATGGTCTCAGCCTTTTTTCGATGATCTTAGCATACATTTTCCCAGTGTGACTGAGAAGTGATATTCCTCTGTAATTAGTACATTCCCTCTTACTTCCTTTATTTTTCCACAGCGGGACAATGACAGCAGTTTGCCAATCTGATGGTGTTTCTTGATTTTCCCATGCCACCTGAAATATTCCCTTTAACCATATTGCTCCCGTTTCTCCTGCTGCCTTGATGGCCTCAGCTGGTAGATCATCAATACCTGTCGCCTTTAGTCTAGGCGCGGTTCGAATGGCATATTTTACCTCATCCAATAATATACCTGGTTCTAGTTCCTCTGCTGTTAGTTCCGAGTTGTTTTTATGTTCTTCCCTGCTTTTATCTGTTTTATTGCAGCTAAGTAATGCTTCAAAGTAATTACTCCACCTTGCTAAGATTTTAGTAGGTTCTATTAAAGGTTGGCCAACTTCATCATTTATAATTTCTGTTGGGTTGTATTCTTCATTCCTGTTTCTCATGCCTTTGATTTTTTTTGTAGTAGTTTTTCACTGCTGATCTTTCTTCTTCAGCCAGCTTGCTTCCAAACTTTTCCCATGAATCTCTTTTTGCTTTTCTGATAGTTCTATTTACTTCTCTTCTAATTTTCCTGTATGTTATGTAATCCTCTTCTGTTCTGCTCCTCAACCAAATGCCATAAGCTTTCTTTTTACTGCTCACAATACTTCTTATTTCTTCAGACCACCATGTTGAGAGCTTACGCCCTATGTTACCTTTCCTTTTAGTTCCACATATTTCTTGTGCTATTTTCATAGTGGTGTCTCTGAAATTCAACCATTCTGTATTTACCCCAAGAGTGTTTTGTGGAAGCTGTTCATAATTTTCCTGTAATTTTTGCTGAAACGCTCGCCTGTTTTCTTCACACTCTAGTTCTTTCCATTTTATTATGTCACTTTTATTACATTTCTTTTTGGTTTGATAACTTATCTTGATTTTTCTGTCAAGGATCACCATCCTATGATCTGTATCTAAACTCAAGTTTGGTATAACTCTCGCATCTGTAACTTGATGAAAGTCTCTTTTTCTCGTCAAGATGTAATCAATCTGACTCTTGGTATCTGGATCATTCCATTTATACCATGTAAAAACTTGTGAAGCTCTATGTTGAAAAAAGGTGTTGGTAATAACAAGGTCATGTTGTGTACATATATCCAACAGTCTTTCGCCATTTTCATTTCTAATGCTGTTGTCTCCATAATTGCCTAGGTATCTTGTGAATGTTCTTCTGTCTCGTCCTGTTTGACATTACATTATGTTGATGTCTCCCACACAGCACTGTCTGACATTACATTGTGTTGATGTCTCCCACACAGCACTGTTTGACATTACATTATGTTGATGTCTCCCACACAGCACTGTCTGACATTACATTGTGTTGATGTCTCCCACACAGCACTGTCTGACATTACATTGTGTTGATGTCTCCCACACAGCACTGTCTGACATTACATTGTGTTGATGTCTCCCACACAGCACTGTCTGACATTACATTGTGTTGATGATTCCCACACAGCACTGTCTGACATTACATTGTGTTGATGTCTCCCACACAGCACTGTCTGACATTACATTGTGTTGATGTCTCCCACACAGCACTGTTTGACATTACATTATGTTGATGTCTCCCACACAGCACTGTTTGACATTACATTGTGTCGATGTCTCCCACACAGCACTGTTTGACATTACATTGTGTTGATGTCTCCCACACAGCACTGTTTGGCATTACATTGTGTTGATGTCTCCCACACAGCACTGTTTGACATTACATTGTGTTAATGTCTCCCACACAGCACTGTTTGACATTACATTGTGTTGATGTCTCCCACACAGCACTGTTTGACATTACATTGTGTTGATGTCTCCCACACAGCACTGTTTGACATTACATTGTGTTGATGTCTCCCACACAGCACTGTTTGACATTACATTGTGTTGATGTCCCCCACACAGCACTGTTTGACATTACATTGTGTTGATGTCTCCCGCACAGCACTGTCTGACATTACATTATGTTGATGTCTCCCGCACAGCACTGTTTGACATTACATTATGTTGATGTCTCCCGCACAGTACTGTTTGACATTACATTATGTTGATGTCTCCCGCACAGTACTGTTTGACATTACATTATGTTGATGTCTCCCGCACAGTACTGTCTGACATTACATTATGTTGATGTCTCCCGCACAGTACTGTCTGACATTACATTGTGTTGATGTCTCCCACACAGCACTGTTTGACATTACATTGTGTTGATGTCTCCCACACAGCACTGTTTGACATTACATTATGTTGATGTCTCACACACAGCACTGTTTGACATTACATTATGTTGATGTCCCCCACACAGTACTGTTTGACATTTTATTATGTTGATGTCTCCCACACAGCACTGTTTGACATTACATTATGTTGATGTCTCCCACACAGCACTGTCTGACATTACATTATGTTGATGTCTCCCACACAGCACTGTTTGACATTACATTGTGTTGATGTCCCCCACACAGCACTGTTTGACATCACATTGCATTTGTGTGGCTCCGCACCTCCTCCCCCCCCCCCCCCCCCCCCTTCCCAGCACTACTTGACATCAGCTGTGTCTGTGTGTAATGTAACGTTTACAGTGTAATTTATTTCCTAACGAAAGTGTAATTGAGATTTCTTAACTCTGACAGTCATCCGTGGGAAATCCTGCGTCAAGGCATTTTGTTTTGATGTGCAGAAGCAATCGCATTTCTTCATCACCAACAGTTTGTGGGAGATGGGTGAAGAGGAGGTCTGGTGACCCAGCAACAGTGCACCCACCACACCCAGAATGGGTTGTGTATATTTCTGTCTAGACATAGTGAATGTATGAATATCACATACTTGAGGTGAATGTGTGTGGGATGTTGTGTATGGTGCTGTATGCTATTACATATGATGCTGTGTTGTGTATTCTATGCTATGTGTGCTTTGATGTGGATGTAGCCTTGTAGTGGCAAATAAAACTGAATTAGGCTACAATTATTGATATTACATCTACTCTTGTTCCTATCAGCCTCTAATGTGAAAACTACCACTACTACAATAACTTCTTTCTACCACTGTAACTCCCATTAATACAACTTCCTTGTACTACTGTAACTCCCATTAATACAACAACTTCCTTCAACTGCTGTAACTCCCATTAATACAACAACTTCCTTCAACTGCTGTAACTCCCATTAATACAACAACTTCCTTCAACTGCTGTAACTCCCATTAATACAACAACTTCCTTCTACTGCTGTAACTCCCGTTAATACAACAACTTCCTTCTACTGCTGTAACTCCCATTAATACAACAACTTCCTTCTACTGCTTTAACTCCCTTTAATACAACAACTTCCTTGTGCTACTGCAACTCCCAATAATTCAACTTCCTTCAACTGCTGTAACTCCCTTTAATACAACAACTTCCTTGTGCTACTGCAACTCCCAATAATTCAACTTCCTTCTACTGCTGTAACTCCCTTTAATACAACATTTTCATTTGTTAAGGGGCCTTGGTCCATTCACTTTTGATATCAGCTCCATGGTGGTTCCCCCTTTTTTCCACCTCTACTATTTCTATTTTACATGCACCAAGGAGGAAGATGAAGGCATTGAGTTTAAATATTTTAGAACAGTTCTTAGAACAGACTGAATGATGAAGACAACAGATGTAGACATTTTGCAGGATGTGAACACAACTGGCATCTACACAGCTGATGTCTTGGCAACTAAAACACAATGGATGCTGGAATGGTTCAGGGCGAACAATAGGGAAAGTCAAGGAGGAGAGGCAGGGATGGACCAGCACAATAGCGGTAACAAGAAATTACAATTTTTTGGCCATGTAAATATAAAACTAGCAAGGGCTCCGAACTTTTCCTCATGTTATAATAAATGATATTCTGTGGAGTATAGTGTCCACTGTGTCACGGGTGGTGTCCGCTGTGTCACGGGTGGTGTCCGCTGTGTCACGGGTGGTGTCCGCTGTGTCACGGGTGGTGTCCGCCGTGTCACGGGTGGTGTCCACTGTGTCACGGATGGTGTCCGCTGTGTCACAGGTGGTGTCCGCTGTGTCACGGGTGGTGTCCGCTGTGTCACAGGTGGTGTCAACTGGAGACACCAGTGTAGAAGTGGATCAGAAACAGTTTTCACAAAAAGATGAAAATGCAAGTGACTTTTCTCCCAAACTAGATGAATGATTGATCTTATATATCATCATCATTAAGTGCCTCACAGTCTCAGAAACCTGAAATGTTGGAATGGTTGGTCTTATAATGTACATGTGATCATCATCAAGTGCCTTGCAGTGTCAGAGAGCTGAGAAATGTCAATATATATGAACATAGTTTGTCTAGCTGTATGTCTGCTGCTTACCTTTGATCTGTGAGATTTTGTCTTCTTGTATATATCATTTTAATCTTGCACCTTTCGTGTGTAAGTCATGCTGCTGTATCAGAGAGTGCACAGTAAGCTCAGGTACCCTTTTTGTTCCGGTGACAATCAGTTCAGGTGACTTCTAGAGCCCAGCCAGGAATGTTCCGGTGACAATCAGTTCAGGTGACTTCTAGAGCCCAGCCAGGAATGTTCCGGTGACAATCAGTTGAGGTGACTTCTAGAGCCCAGCCAGGAATGGAGCTGAAATAGTCTCAGGTGGATTCCCTGGAGCCTACCTCAGTTATGTGCAGCGATGTGTCGATGTGGATGTTAGCCTGTTAACTTGAGGAAAAAGTTCAAGTGTTGGCTTTTGAGTTTTGGTTTCCCCCAAAAAAATAGATTGTGTGGTTGTTTTTATTTTTGTTGATTGTGGGTCACCACGATGTAGCGGATAGATACTCTTGGCAGGCCAGAAAGTCGTGGGTTCCAATCCACATGAGACAAGATTTTGTCAGAAATGACCTCAGCTCCCAGGTGGATCAAGCCCTACATGGGAAACATGTCGAGTCCTGGGAAGTAAAGGCAGCTCTTATGATGTTAACCTCATCACCCACTGAGTCAAAAAATATAGATCTCGCACTATATACCCAACGCTAGCCTGTGGATCAGAAGGTTGTGGGTTCAAATCCTAACAGAGCCAGACTTTTTAAAGAAATGACCTTTACTCCCAGCCGTGAGTTGGTAGCATGTACAGTCCTGGGAAATGAAGACGGCTGACCACATCACCCTCCTAGCAGCACTGACTGATCTATAAAAAATAAGTCTAGCCCTGTATACCCAAAAGCTATGTGTGGACAAGGGTCCTGTGATTGTACTATGTAACCAGTATGGTTTTTTTTTTTTTAAAACTAAATGACAGTGCCATAAGTGACAGCTGTTTTGTTTTTGTTTTTAAGTGTTGTTTGGTTCCCCCCACCCCCCCCCCCTCCCTTTTTCAGTAATTTTCTTCTACTTTTGTCACCTCCATACCTCCCTTTCCACTTTTTTTTCACTTCCAGTTTTTCCCTTTTTCTTCTAATTTTGTTTTTAAATATAATTTGTTTTGTTTTCACCTCTCTAATTGTCACTTTACACTTAATGTATGTTTTGTTAACATGCCTATCTATTTTACTGTGTTCAGTTTTTATTAAAGTTTTGGGGTGAGGATTTGCTTTTCGCAGACGACCAAAGCATAATACATGAAAACGAAAAAGAACTTCAAATCCACCTAAATGCGCTACACACAGTCTGCAACGAATATATCATGAAGATCAGCATCACCAAAACAGAAATTCTGAAAATAAGTAGAACACATAATATACTAACTATTCAAGTTAACAACGAACAACTCAAACAAGTGCAGCAATTTAAATACTTGGGGAGCATCTTCACAGATGATGGAAGAATTGATAGGGAACTTTAGGCAAGATGTCAAAAGGCGAACGCAGTAACTTACCAGCTCTCCCCACTGCTAAAACACCCAAGCATCACTATGGCACTAAAACGACAACTGATAAATTGCATGTTTATACCAACCCTCTGCTACCAATGCCAAACCTGGTCCCTAACAAGAGCACAGGAGAAAAAGATCACGACGTGTGAAATGAGATGCTTACGTAAGGCTGCCAATGTCACAAGGAGAGACAGAGTTCGAAACGAGAACATTAGATCAATTGTAGGAACCACACCATGCCTGCAATACATAAAGAAGCAACAAATAGAGTGGTTTGGCCACTTGATGCGAATGCAAACCGACCAACTGCCTCTACGAGCATACAACGAACAGCACTACTGTCCTAGAGCAAGAGGCAGACCGAGAGTACGATGGATAGACAATATATCAGAGATCCTGAGGCAACACGGACTAACAACAACACGTGCAACACCTGGCCCAGGATAGAAAACTGCGACTCCCCACTACGCTGTGAGGCAATTGTGGACAAGACAAGAGAGAGAGATGAGGGTTGGGTACTATTTATGTGTCGTAAGTCTGTTGGAATAAATCAGGCAAATGGGAATGTGGTTTTCTCTTAACGGCATCCCACTCTAAGACGTGGAGTCGTACACCTTTTAAGGCACTACTGTAGATAAAGATGGCGAACTGATAGGAATACAAAAGGTTAGAGCAGCTTTTATAGCCCTAGGGCATTTGTGGAGGTCAACGGAAATTAAAACTAATCCCAAACTAAAAAATATTAATTCTATTGTGATCTGTTTGCTGATGACTGTACAATATATACTAGTCATGACAATTGTAATGAATTAGAACGTTCTTTGCAGAAAGAAATAGATAAGCTTATAAAATGGAGCAATGATAATCGCATGCAAATTAACATTAGTAAAACTAAATCTATAGCATGAGCCACCGCTTGAGCTCTTCATTGACAAGCTACCTATTGTTAATGTAGTTGAACACAAAACATTAGGTGTTTTAATTGACAGCCATCTAACCTGGAGTTCCCATGTTCATGCCATGACAAAAAAAGTATATCAACTTGGAAAAATTCAGCACTTTCTGGACGAAAATACACGTAAAATATTTTACGTATCCTACATTCAAATGCATATTGACTATTGTTCCACAATTTGTGGCTGTAATTTTTTTTCCATCCTTTAAAAATGTGTAAGGAGGTCACGCCCCTATTCCAAAATGTGGTTGTCCATGCACAAGCATGTCCTACAGGTAATCATACAATTTACAGCTGAATACCAGCTCTGAGATCTAGTAAACACCAACCTGGTATAACCTCATCTTGGTAGTTTCCAGCACATATCTGAATAAATGGAAGTGCTCATTTTGTGATTTGAGAAGGTGTTTGTTTAGAAGCTATTGACTGAAAGGCGGCACGCGTCGATCGGGGTCATGGGAAAGTATGGATTGGAACTTTGGGCTTGAGTGAGATAGGCAAAGCTGGTCTCTGGGAATTATATGGTTTGATGGTCACGACATTTTGGCACTCAGCTGTGCCCTGTCGGTTGCACGTTTTCTTAACACAATCGACGTTTCGACATACTAGGTATTCCCATATGTGCTCAGTCCTCCCATGCAGTAGGTGCGCCGATACATAGCCCTAAATAGGGGGAGGGCGAGCGCTCACCTGGCAACCCGTCCTCTACACAACTTAGACACAAATTATGGGGGGGGGGGGGGGGGGGTTCAGACTTCTCAGCTCCCCATAAAATTAAGAGAAATGTGTGGTGCTCAGTTATCTTGTCCCAGCCACGCCCTCTTCACACATTTTCTAGGCATCATTTGGTGGAGGGGTCCTTGAGGCGCCCCCCCCCCCCACCCACACACACACACACAGAGAATGAAAGGCCGGACAGTCCGCCCACGCCCTAATCAATATTTTTTAA